CAAAAAAGAGAGATAACAGAGAGAGAGAACAAAGAAAAAACGGAGTTACCTGTCAATAAATGTATATTCCAACTGCTGGCCTCTCCGCTCAGAGCAGAGGGTGATAATAGGCCCCACATACCTTCAAGTTGACGACATACCGCAACGAAGTCAGCGCAAGCAAATACCTTAGATGGCGAACAGAAACTAATGGCAAGGGGGTATGAGAGCTTACTCACTAGGAATAATGATTGTAGCTATTACTGTAGGTTCCCAAGAAGCTACCACTCGTTGCTTAGGATTTGAGGGCAACGCGGCTGGATTTTGAACTTGCATTTTGCTGCAACAAGCAAAAATTAAATTAAAAAAAAAAAAATTGGTTACCTAAGCCATATGGCGAGGAAGACAAACCTTCCAGAAAAAATATTAAACATATACCTCCCATCAGCATACTCAAAAATGTAAGGAACGGTTGGAACAGTAGAAATAATGTGAGCTCCATATTCCTATCATTCAAATGGAAGATATAAATTCAGAAAGTGAAACTGAATAACAAACGGTGTGAGAAACTATCACCAAAAAGACCATATTTCATAAAGGCATGAAGCATGAATAGAGGACGTAGATTCAACCATTATCACCAATGTCTCAGGGAAATGGATCGTGGAATTCTATAGAGAACATAAGAGAACTGTTCACATATTTCCACTCTAATATTCTTGTCCTTAGCAAAGTATGTCACTTTTCTTATATTATGTTCTGAATGCATGATCACCTTCACCGATAACAATTATTTTTCTTTTATGCCCAAAAAATACTTCTAGCGCACCTGTTCAAGTCGCTGATGGAAAACATCCATGTGAAGCAAGCCTAAGAAACCACACCTGTAGAGAGACACAATAAACATAACATAGATATGCCATATTAAGCAAATGAAATGACCATGCTGCTCAAGTCAATGCCTTTTACCTAAATAGAAGAACAACCGAGAAGAGGATAATTGGAATCAAACCTGAAACCCAGACCTAGTGCCGTGCTACTTTCTTTAGCAATGGAGACACTGGCATCGTTACATGTCAGTCTCTCTATTGCACTGTTAAGTGCCTCAAAATCCGATCCATCAGCAGGGTAAAGACCAGAGAACACCATATGTTTTACAGGCTTGAATCCTACAGTTTGAACACCCACCATTTCAGTGTTAATATCATATTCACAATCAAAAAACACATAAAGGAAAGGAAAAATCACAGATATACCAGGAAGACGCTCGACGACACTACGAGTATGAAAAAGGGTGTCTCCAACTCGCGCCTCTTTGGTCGAACGCATACCACTGACAACATACCCCACTTGTCCTGTTAGAAGGACTCCTGTAGGAGTGAGTTCCGGATGCATGATCCCAACATCCAAAACATCATAAGATTGGTTGGTAGCGGCAGATGAAATCTTGTCCCCCTTACGCAGCACGCCGTCAACAACCGCAACATGGCATATCACTCCTTTGTATTCATCATAGTAGGAATCCAACAAAAGCATTCGCAAAGGCGAACCGC